TGAAGAAAGATCTCTCAGTTTTAATAGCATTCCATTTAGAACATTAGCTCTCATCTTTCCTTCACTTTTTGTTTCTTTGCTGGGTGAGGTTGCCTTTAGTTTAGCAATAGTGCATCAAGAGAGGATGTTTTTGACACAAGTAAAATTGGTCTTTATCCAGTGTTTCTCTTGTAAGAATATAGATTTTCACCCTCTAAGATTACAATTCTATACTCTTAAAGGGTAGGTAAAGAAGTCAAATAACAAAATGCCCAATCATTAGAGGAACAATTGTTTTTACTACAGACATGCTTTATAGTTTATTGGATGCCTCTTGTATTTCATAGAAGAAACCTTCAATTTGCTCTGTGAAGAGTTTTCCAGCTGCATGATTCTAGATTGTTTTTTGGGTTTTGTTTCTTGTTTGCTCTGTTATTATGTGTTATCCAGACCAGGAACTGGTATAGAAAAATACCCGGTGGTATGAATGCTTTAAAGGTCACATTATATATACAACCCATAAAAATGAGTGGAATGAGTTAGAAGGATTCCCCTACCATGTACTGTTTAAAACACCAATATACTTCAATAGTATTTATAAACAAACCATTTCTCCATTGGGGTCCATTGGCCCATGACTGGAGTTCCTAGGTATTAGTGCAGCACAAACAAACAACCAAATGCTCCTCCAAATGTCCTCCCCACAGAGCTTTAGATACTGGGAGCAGGATAGCATGAAACAATTAACATTTGACTTCTTAAATTAGTGTTGACTGTAAAATGTAGTTGTTTTTGCTAATCCTGCAAAAGGCACAGCCAGTGCTGCTTTGCCCCTCCTTCCCTCTTCTTCCCTCTCACCTCTCTCCTAGTATGCTATTGCCCTGTGAAGTGGAATGGGAGGGTAGGCATTAGTAGTGTACCCCATGTGACAGACAGCATAGGGTACCACATTGTTGAAAGCAAACAACAGTGCCAGCTCCACAATACCAGGCCTGTACTGGCAGTGTGTAGCAGAGTATCTCCCTGTGCTCTAGAGGTGTGATTCTGAGCCTTCTCTGGACTTATGTTACTCACTGTCAACCCAGCTGTAGTGGGTATCTAGCCATTTAGGAGAGTCAAAGGGAGACCAGATGTGATATTGACAAAAGACATCATTCCTTCGTGTGCTGTTGGCTACAGAAACTGGCCTTAACCAAGCCAGTTTCCTGGGCTGCTTGACTTGGAAGGACCTTGACCTTGTTTGATTATATCCTGCACATCTCTGCTGATGAGATTTGTATTTAGAAGCTTTTGGTGTAGAAGAAGTGGTCCATGAGTCACAAGGCAGCTTCTTACATTAGGAGCCTCAGCTAAAAGTTGCTGTTACAGGCAATATGGGAAGTGACAATTGCTTAAACTGGGAGTTCTTCACAAATGAAACAGGGCCAAGTTCTGTCCCAGGGATGAGTACATTCATTGCACATTCAAGAGATAATGGAACATCCTGTGCATTTGAGGGCATGATTTTGCCTATTGTATACCTTACAAAATCCGTCAGATGCCACGGGGCACTTGCTTGCTTCCCTGTCTTCTCTTGACCCTTTTTATTAACATGTTCCAAAGGTTTAGATTTTTCCCCTAGGAAAGCTTGCAGACAAAGAATAAATGCTTGCATTGCCACTTTTCATCTATTTATTTTGGCTGCTTGCTTCTGCCCTTCTTTGGAGTTACTGCAATGCATAAATAAGCTCTAACCCATCACCCTGGAGAGAGACAAAAGAGACCGTGCAAAAAAATGGTTTTCACCCTGTAATTTCTGCAATAATATCATACCGCATGACTGGGCTTTTCCAGGCATAGGGGTTGCTATATTTCTTTTAATGATTTAAAGTGTGGTGTGTTGATGGCCTCACCCTGAACCTGAAAACAATTCTTAATAGATATTTTTAAACTCTTCAAGGTCCATATCATATCCCTTTTAAACAGCCAATTAAGCTTTAATTTGACTATTGTTTCCAGATACAAGCTCTCTCAGCCTCCTGCAGTGCTGGTAAGGACTGCAGGAACAAAGACTTGCACTCAAAGTAGTAATTTAAAGACAGAGAAAGCAGGTGAAAGTAAAAGATTTTTTTGCTTGAAAACTGAACAATTATAAACCCACAGCTGCTGTTACCTGCTGTGAAAACTGCTGATTAAAATAAGAGATGGGAAGTTTCCTTAACCTCATGGTTTTTAGTTTAATTTTGAAGAAGGGTGTGGGGGGATTTTTTTTGACCTGACTGAGGTTAAGGGAGGCATAGTAACAGCAGAGACAGCAGATACAGAGGCACTAGAAGCTTTCCCCCATGCTGCCCTGTCAATTATCTTAGTGCTGCCCTGTAAGCACCTTCGTCTCCCAAGAGGGATGCAATTCAGACTCCATATTAACTCCTCCTTGAGCTTCTCCCCAGCAAAGGCTCAGCTATCAGGCTTCTAACACATGTGTTTCAGCAGAGTGTATAGTGAATGATGATTTCATGACTCAGATTGCTATCAGCGAGGAGCTAAGCTGAAAATTACTTATTTCATTTCATAGAGGAAGGGAATGGGGGCAGGGTGGAGATGACATAAAGCATTAGAGCTCAATTCAGCACATTCAAATAGGAACCACAACATTGACTTCGACCAAGTGGAACCTGATTATAGTAATGGCTAAATTTGGACCATACTAAATAGAATGATTGCTTTCTGTGGGTGTAAGGTCAGCACTTTATTTATTCATCTCTTTTGTTCATGGGTGATTTGATTTATTAGTTATGGATCAAATTAGGCTGTCAATGACATGAATGTCCATCTGGAGTTACACCATTGCAAACAGTAATTTTGTGTTGGTGTAACCAAATATAATTTGACCCATTGTTTTGATTTTGTGTGTTCATTTAGCAATAGTGATATTAAATATATATATATATATATATATATATTTAATATGGAGAATGTATGAGTTTGCAAGTGAGGACACTACACTGAAAGACTATTGACACATCTCTAGGGGTTCAAATGGCATTGCGGTAAACCCAAAAAACAAAGCTTGGGCAGCTAGCAATATCATCACAGTTCTTAAAGGGTTGCTATCAATTTCAACACTGGATACTTCTTAAAGTGAGTTAAGTTATGGTAAGCACAACTGCTGCCCTTGGATCCCACCTGACAACTTTTGCATCTTACCATATTTTTTAGTTTCAAAGTGACTTTATCTTCCTTATTGCTGTGTGAAAGATCCACATAAGCAACAACAAACAGAACATATAGGGAAAGCGGTGAAATAAACTAAATGCAAAATGTGTCTTAAATGCACAAGGTGAAAAATACTTCATTATTTTTCTCAGTTGTCTCCCACCTTAGTCTCATTTAGTTCTACTAAACAAGGAAGGCAGCACTGATTGTGCTTTTTGCAAAAATTGGATCTAAAACATTTTCAGACTGATTTAAACTGCCACTGCCACTGTAATAGATGGTTTGAAGAGGGACTTTATTCACAGTTTACTGTGTTGTATATACTTAATAAATGATAAAAGATAAAAAGAATCCCCCCAGACCACCCATTATTTATCCTATGTCAAAGCATTACTCCGCAT